GCTAAATTTAGGCAGCTGGCGCTGCTGCCCGCCGGAGCAGCATGCAGGTCTCCTTTGTGTGCTCCGAGCACAGCATCAAGAGCCGGAGCGCGGAGGACCGGCTGAACCGACAGAATGCCGGCAGCCCCAGCCTCGGCACCCGCGGCAAGTTCCGCGCGGTGGCCATGGTGGCCCGCAGCCTGGGGCAGCTCTCGGTGCAGAACGCCCCCTCCTCCAGCGACTCCAGCGTCAAGCAGCCGGGGATGAAATACCGGTAGGAAACGGGCACTCCTGGGGCTTTCCCTGTTCCTCACTGTGATCGGGGTGGCGAGGGGGGACTGGGAGCCAGGGGCGCCGCACTCCCCTGATCTCTGGTTTGCGTCCAGCTCCGTCGGTTTCTCGTCGCTAAAAGTGCTGACCGTGCGCCTCCGTGCGCTTCCTCGCTGTTTGCTCCTGTCCCCTTAGGGCAGCTTTGATCCAGCCGCGCGTAAAATCTTCAGGATGGGGGAGAGAAGGGACCCTAAAATTAAGGGTAGGATTAGTAGCATCCTCAGTGTCTGCCAAGCCGGGCTGGCTGCCGAGCCGGGGGGGTCTGGGAGTCACGGTAGCGTTAATCCGGGCTGCCATGGCATCCTTTCGGTGCTGCCGGAGACTCAGTGCCCTGAGAAGCCAGTGCAGAGCCATAAGCGGCTCTGGCTGCCCATGGTGGTTCTGGAAACGGGGTAGTGTGTGTATGTGGGGCTCCCCTGGCCAGCACCCACAGGGCTCGCACACCCCATGTCCTGGCTCTGGGCAGAGCACTGAGGGCTTCCCCCATTGAGGCTGAGTGTGCACCCAGGTGTGGGGCTGGGGCTTCCCCCGGATGAGCATGGATCCCAGGACAGGGTAGAGCCCCCCCCCCAGATGAGCCTGCACGCCATGGTCCAGCTGCCAGCGGCCGCGTGCCTCCGCTGCAGCCCAGATGTGCCAGCATTAGGCAACAAAGTGTGTCAGGCCAGCAGAGCGCTGGGCTGAGCTTGACCATCACCCACCAGTGTCATCCAAATCAGCCAAGTCCCCTTACCTGGGCACTGGGGAGGGGGCTGGTCCTGTTCTGTCCCGCTCTCAAACACCAAACCCTTGCATTGGTAACAGCAGTACTGGGGCAATGTGCGGTGGCATCCTCAGGGCTCAGTGCTCCTGCCCCACAGTCATGCCCTCATCCAGAGGAGGAGCATACCAGCAACAGCCTCTCCCAGGCAATGGGTGATCAGCTCGGGAGTCTCCACTGGTGGCTGCTGGAGGGACAGTGGCACAGGGGGATTCTCCAAGCAAGTGGATGGGATAGGAAGGCCATAGCATAGTGTGGGGGAGTGCTTGGCCTTCGCAAGGTCTGCCAGTATCTCTATTGGGCAGCTTGTCAACACACTTTTGGGCTGTAAAGCCGAGAGCAGCGATGGCCACCTGCCCAGGGGAACCCCAGCAAAGCTCTTGGAATGTCCAGGATGAGGCAGGTGCTCTCTACTCCACATGGCAACCCACCTTCATGGGGGCTTGAACCACCACTGGACCACAGCCATGACCTCTCCCTGCCACAAAAAGCTCTAAAAACACCGCAGGACAGGGGGAGCGCCATTGCCTCCAGATGCTGGGCAATAACTGGCAGCACAGGGGGATGCTGCGCTGACTCGGTGCAGCCCACGGTTGCCCGTGGCCGGGCCACAGCCACTCCCTGCCCGGCTGCCGGTGCCCGTGTCGGCGGTGCCGGCGGTGGCGGTGCCTCCGGTTGCTATGCGACACCCGCGCGGGCGAGCTGCCGCGGCTCACCTACACTTTATTTATTTTAACGCTCATTTCTTGAGCCTTTGTCATTTTTAACAAGTAACTGGCTCTCCATCACCACGGCGAAGGCGTCTGCCAGCCTGGCCCCCTTCCCGAAAGCTGTTCTCCAGTTCCTTGTGCCGGTCAGATTTTCTGGGGTGCTCCATTTCTCCAGGATGTCGCTCTACTCCCGAGCACCCTCGCCTGGTGCAAGCCCTGTGCTTCCCTGTGCGATGCAGAGAACAGGCACAACTCATGCCATGTATGCGATGCTTCAGTCCTGACCATGAGCATGCCGGCTCCTCTTCCTCCAGTCTCATTCCCCAGTGCCAGCGGCACTCTCAGGGCAGCCAGACACCCCAACCTCATCACAGGAAGCAGCTTTAATGAGGTCACTGCTCTCCCTATAACCCTGCCAGGCATGGCATCGCTGCGCAGGTGCAGGCAGTGCCATTGCCGAGCTGTGGGATGCCCAGCCTGGGATGGCTGGTTAATCAGTTGAGAAGGGACTCCCCAGTCCATGGAACCATCCCAGGTGGCGATGGGGACCAGGGGCCACCACCACACCTCCCAGTCCTCGCACCCAGTGTGTTTGGTGGCATGCAGGATGCATGAGACAGCATTTTGGGGCTTTCTGGCACCTTTCCTAATGGTCTCTGTCTTCCAGGAACCTCGGGAAGTCTGGGCTACGTGTGTCCTGCCTGGGTCTGGGTAAGTGCCAGGGTTTGCCACAGCCCCTCGGCATCCCCTCAGTTCCGCAGCAGCTGCCGGCACTCCCGGGCCAGGGCAGCACTCGCTTGCCCCGGCAATGTTTGCAAAGGGAAGGAAAGGGTTTTCCTCAGCCCTGCGGCTGTTTTGAGTCACGGCCCAGAAATTGTCAAATTATTTTCTCTTTTTCTGACACGATAGGAAGCGACTGGGCCATGCTGGGAGCACCACAGTGCACGCGGCAGGGCCAGCTGTGGCCACCACGTGCCACGGCTGTGCTGAGGGAGCCAGGGTGGGTGGCCAGGGGCTTGAGGTGGCGGCGTTCGTTGTTCACCACATTCACCATGCACACACCTCTCTCTCTCCTGCAGGAACATGGGTGACTTTTGGAGGGCAGATCACAGATGAGGTAAGGCTGCACCCCTCCACCCCAACCCTCCCCAAGCCTGTCCTTGGTGAGTGGGGCAGGGATGGGGTCAGCACAGCTGCGGCTGTGGCCTGGGTGCATGAGGCATGCTGGAGCTCACCAGCGCTCTGCGCACGCGCCCGTGCACCGGCTCTCGGCCACCCCCTTCACCGACCCCGCTCTCTCCTCGCAGATGGCGGAGCAGCTGATGACTTTAGCTTATGACAACGGCATTAATCTCTTCGACACAGCAGAAGTCTATGCTGCTGGCAAGTAGGTACCCTGCTTTGGCAGTGCCAAAGAGGTCTCACTCTACACCCTGACTCCCACCAAATCACAGTGGCACTGGGAATCTCCCAGGTTTGCCAGCTGCAAAGCAGCTTCCAGGACAGGGCTCTGAGCTCTTGCTCACGGGGGGAGTTGTGGTACTGGTGGTGCGTGGTGGCCTGTATCATGCAGGTGCAGCCATGCACCCTCCCAGCACAGCTGTACCCAGGGCACGCTGGCCCAGGGGCATTGGTATGTGCCCATGCATTCAGTTGAAATTAACAAGCTCATGCATTGGGGGCAGTTTAGCTCTGGGCGCCACAGCAAGGGGCAGTGTCCCCACAGCCAACTGCAGTTGCCTCTTATTCTCTTGGGGTCTGGGGCTGTCCCTGCTGACTGCCACCACTCCTCATGGCCGCAGATGCCAATGGCTGATATCTCCTTCCCTTGTAGGGCTGAGGTGGTGCTGGGGAACATCATCAAGAAGAAAGGGTGGAGGTAAGCCAGATGCCACCCCTACTTGACAAAAGTCCCGATGGGCTGGGGAAAACTGGTGGAGAAGCCTTGGGCAGGAGTGTGCTATCCCAGGCAAGGTGCACAGGACTTTGCAAGTGCCACCACCAGTGATTCTCTTTCTCCTTGCAGACGGTCCAGCCTGGTCATCACCACCAAAATCTTCTGGGGAGGAAAGTAGGTAACACCAACCCTCCAGCAGAGCAGCTGGCACTGGTCAGGCTCTCATCCCAGGCTCTCACCCACCTTTCCTTTTCCAGGGCCGAGACAGAGAGGGGCCTGTCCCGAAAACACATCATAGAAGGTAGGGGGAGGGATGAGGGCACTGGCCAGGTGCTGCTGGCCCTGGTGCCAGGCTGTGCCTCACCGTCTGCCTCACTGCTGGCAGCATGGGGCTCAGCTCACCTGACAGTCCCATCCATGCTGCAGGTCTGAAGGCATCATTGGAGCGGCTGCAGCTGGAGTACGTGGACGTGGTGTTTGCTAACCGGCCCGACCCCAACACGCCGATGGAAGGTGGGTGTGTGCAACGGTGCCACGCTCCTCCCCGCTGCCTTTCATCGCTGTCGCGGTTGGTTTGCGCCAGGCTTGTGTTTCAAGGGCATTTTCCCTCCTGAGCAGAATCCGCTCCTCCGCCACCACTCGTGCCACACTTCTGCCACCCCTGCCCGGTGCCAGGACCCTCTCGGGCTGCGGCGGGGCGGGTTGGCGGTGCGGTGGCAGGTCACTGCCCCTGTCCCAGCAGCGGTGACTCCACTTTCTCTAAATCTCTCTTTTATCACCAGGGGACCCATTTAGTTCCTCCAAGTCCAGGACTTTCATCGTAGAAGGTACTCCCTGCCCGCACTCTGCCCGCCAGCCGCTGCCTGTCCCAGCGGTGTTTCCTGGGACAGAGCCCCCACTCCTCTGTGATCCCCCATCCTTGTTCCACCCTCTCAAGCAAACCCTGCCATGAGATGCAGAGGCAGCAGCAGCACAACACAGACACACCCCTGGCCCTTCAGACTGTACTGCAGTTTAAAGGACAAAAAGCAGAGAGGCTCCCACCCCCAGGGTCCTGCCTTGGGGTGCCCTTGGCACATGCCAGGGTCTGCAGCAGGGTCCCTCCCTGCCAGGGCAGCTATGAGCATGCTGGGGTGTGTGCCCCGGTGCCAGCCGGGCAAGCCTCGTGCCCCTTGCCCTCCCCGCTGCCTGCCTTTGGCTGCAGGAGCACGCCTTGGCTTGGCCCCAGCCCGCATGGCTCAGGGCTGGCTCCCCCCAAGACCCCTGAGTGGCTCACACAGGGTTCAGGCTTCCCTCCGTGGGTCTCTGTGTGTGGGTGATGCATCAGTCCCTCCCCCTGCAGCAGTGCCAGTGCTGGTAACCCCACAGGGCATGGGACCACTGGCAGAAGCCTCAGGCTGCTCTCCATGCAGGGAGAGCCTGGCACCGTGTGAGCATGTCAGGTCGGCTGTGGTCCCTGGCACATCCTGAGTGGCTGCTGCTCCCTCTGTCCCCATCCCGCTTTTCTGAAAACATCCCCTGGACACCACCCAGTTCCCACCGCAGCATTGGGCAGTGGGATGCTCGCCAGCCATCAACACGGTGCAAGCCCCCTTCTGCCAGTGCAGCCCCTGCTAAACCCCATCTGCCACTCTCTCCTTCCCTCCCGGCAGAGACAGTGCGAGCCATGACCCATGTCATCAACCAGGGGATGGCCATGTACTGGGGGACCTCGCGCTGGAGCTCCATGGAGATCATGGTAGGGGCCCAGGGGACCGGGGCGGCTGCAGCAGAGCAGCCCCAGCGATGCCGCTGACGTTGATTTAATTAGACAGCAGCCGTTGGGAGCCAAGCGTGTGCAGATGCACTTAAGCCTTAATTATTTTTTGGGGCGGCCGCTCAGGACTTGGCTGGGGGGTTCAGCAGGGGGCTCGGGGGGAGCGGCAGGGCGCTGAGGGTCCTGGCTCCTCTTCTGCAGGAGGCGTACTCGGTGGCCCGGCAGTTCAACCTGATCCCGCCGATCTGTGAGCAGGCCGAGTATCACATGTTCCAGCGGGAAAAGGTGGAGGTGCAGCTCCCTGAGCTCTTCCACAAGATAGGTATGACAGTGGGGATTTCTCCCCAGCCCCCCAAAGCACAGTGCTCCCCAAGCCCAGTGCTGCTGAGGCCAGGTGCCAAGGCCCCTGGGGGAGCTGGGAGCAGCAGTGTCATCCCCCCATTCTGCTGTCCCCAGGTGTTGGAGCCATGACCTGGTCCCCACTGGCCTGTGGCATTGTCTCGGGGAAGTACGATGGGGGCATCCCCCCCTACTCCCGTGCCTCTCTGAAGGTGAGCTGCACCAGGGCTGGGAGGGCACACGGGGATGGACAGAGCTGGGGGAGTAGGGCTGGGGGCCTTGTGAAGTCCCTACAGGAAAAGGAACTCCAGGAGCCACAACCCAGGGAGTTTGGGGATGCCCTGCCTGTGCAAGGTGCTGGTGCACCCTGATGCCACCACAACACCCCTTCCCGCTCCCCAGGGATACCAGTGGCTGAAGGACAAGATCCTGAGTGAAGAGGGCCGGCGGCAGCAGGCAAAGCTGAAGGAGCTGCAGGCCATCGCTGAGCGCCTGGGCTGCACCCTGCCCCAGCTTGCCATCGGTAAGAAGATGGGGGACAGTGTGGGACAGCTGGGGGTGACACCAGGGTTATCTGGGCTTTGCTCAAGCTCTGCTCTCCCTCCTGTCCCAGCCTGGTGCCTGCGCAACGAGGGTGTCAGCTCCGTCTTACTGGGGGCCTCCAATGCCGACCAGCTGATGGAGAATATTGGAGCAATACAGGTCAGTGCTCCCAAGAGCAACATTTGCCCACAGCACTCATTGCTGTGCTGCACTGTGCGGGAAAAGAGGGTTGCAAACCCAGCTCCATAACAGGTTTTGCTTGTCATGAAGGCGAGAAGCAGAGACAAGGCTTTGCTGGGCTGAGGGGGCAGGGTCAGGCCTGACTCAGGCTCTGCCTAAGTGGGTCACGCAGCCGGCAAGCTGGGGCTTGTGGCACGAACGTGGTGGGGTGGAGGCGGAGAGCATCCTGCCACGCACACCGGGGTCACAGTCCCAACTCCCAGCATTGTCCCCATCCCCCGCAGGTCCTTCCGAAGCTGTCGTCTTCCATCGTCCACGAGATCGATAGCATCCTGGGCAACAAACCATACAGCAAGAAGGACTACAGATCCTAAGCGCGCCCGAGCACGCCGCCCGCCGCGCAGCCCTCGCCGCCCGTTCGCTTGCTTACGCTTTGTTGGAGCAAAGTGGAGAGTGTGGTTTGCACCGAGCGCCGAGAGCCAGCGCTCCCGCCCGCGCTGCCCCGGACACGGCGCCGCGGCCGCCCGGCCCGGCTGTGCGGCGCAGGG